CTGGCAAGATACCTTTTCACAATGCTTTACTTTTACAAGGCCCGTGCTGCTCTATTTTTACAAGGCCTGAGGCCTATATCGGGTAAAGGCCCTTTTATAATCAAGAGGCGCCGAACCTGGTTTACAGACTTACTGCTGGAAATTTGTGGAAAAAGGAAAAAGTACTTTACTCCCGAGTTCTGATCAAAACAAAAAACAAGAAAATTTCACAAGAAGGGAGGCGAAAAGGAAATTCTGATGGCTTACCACGGCCACAACCCCCTCTGGGAATGTGCCCTCCCCACTTTCCCCTGTGTTGAAGCACAGATCCTCATCAACGCTTTCATCCAGTGCAACTGGAATGCCAGTTGCTCTGTGAAAAGTCTCAATGCTGGCAAAGCTTGACACTGGCTCCTAATGTGAAATCACAAAGCATAAACAAATTTCACCCTGGTAAGTTTTAGGCGAAGGATTTCACTTGAAAGCTGGAACTTCTTTCTTTTTTTTTTGTTCCTTCTGTTGCTTTGCACAAATTGCCTTCTCCACCCATGTATTGCACACACTAAAGCACATAAGGGTACGCATATTGTGTGTGTTGGGGGGGCGGTCTGTAAACTGTCACCACAACCACCCCTTTTCCACCCAGATGAGCAGATCCAAAATTGAAACAGCTTTACCTGTATGGCAAACAACATGAAGCACACTCAAACTGTTACATTGTCTTTCCCTTGTGCAGTCCTTTCTTCACTTTCCTTGCTTATAACTTTTTTGGGTTTTCTCTCTTCTTGCAGCTCCCCTTTTGCTGCACCTCTCACATACAAGCCTTGCCACATTGATTGCGGTTGAGCGCAAGCTGCCCACATCCTCGTGTGCCACAACGGGCCACTTGCACGCTATCGTAGGAGGTATAGTCCTGTTTGTTGATTTTCCAGCACCCCTCAGCTTATATTCTGTCTGTTCTCTTAATGATGCACATTTGTATGCATTTAGAAGTGGTACACAAGGGGAGGGAGGAAGAAAAAGGGAAGAGGAGGGAAGTGGAGGGACAAGGAATACGACAGAGGAACAACAACCTTCAGAGAGAACTCAGTACTCACCGCCAGAGCAGACTAGTATGGAATGGCACAAGAGGCCAGTCAGTGTTTGGGCTGCAGAGAAAGTTCAGTTGAGGACCAGTGTTGTCCATGGTAAGTGGTCACCCCTGCAGACCGGAGGGACCAGTTTGGGTGTGGACTGTGGAAGCACCGGATCCAAGTCTTGCAGTTGCACTTACTGCATCAGCAACACGCTGTAGACAGATGTCACAGCCTACGTGGCTCCTACATGCTAGGAACACCAGAGGCACGCCGACCGCAATTGCATAGGTATTGCCATTCCAGCCCGTCTACAAAGAGGACAGGCCAGGTCAGGGTGTCCTACATGAGTAAATTGTTGACTGTCATCATACATATCAAAGGAAAAACTTGCACGGGCTATACCTTCATAATCCTTGTGACACGAAGCATGCCAGTCACATGCTAGCCGAATCTCAGGTGGGTCATCGCAGTCCGGCATTGATAAGGTTTCTTGGGTTTCCGCAGCTGATATTCCCTCTCTACGGGCAGGCGATGATGGGCCTGATCCAAAGTAAGGGCGTTTAGCTGTTGCAAAATCTGGTCTGCAACAGCTCACCCTGGCGGCAATTACCTTTATGGTGCACTGTAGGTGGCTCACGTAGAGCCGACGCTGCCAGCCACACACAAGCACTCCAACCTCTGGCCGGGACACCAGGGGGATGGCCCCTGCCAAGCATACATCATGTCGAGGAAGTTACTGCAGCTTTGAAGTCAGTAGTAGTGTTACCAATATGCTTGAACCTTGTTAGCTGTCCCGTGAGCACACCTCTGAGATGATGAGCTGGGGCATTGGAGGAGCACAGGGAAAGTGTATGACAGGGAATGTCCAAGCCTCAACTTACCAAACATGCTAATGCGAAGTGAGCCATCTGGCCAAACCGAGATTTTGCCCCGAGGAAGAGACATGACCCATCTTTCTCAGTACTGTCTTTCCACTCAGGGCCATACCGAGCAGGAAGGGGCGGGGATTTCTTCGAGGATAGGATGTCATCAATGAACCGATATGTGAATGCATATCCTTGAGCTAGGTGTAGATCTCGCAGCTGGCCGGACATCATCTGTGTACAGGAGACCCATCTCATGGACTCCCCAGAGCACAATAGAATCCACAAACTGGTTTGGCCACATAAACCTTTTAGAGCACACGCCCCAAAACCCGGGAGTGCAGGGGTTGCCATCTGGCTCCCCCCAGAGTCGCGGGCAGACACCATCCATTGGGTAGCGGACCAAGAGGAAGGAAGATGGGTATCGATTCTTATCAGGATCGAATGTGAAGTGGTATGTATTGTCAGTATCTACGCCCCCAATGGGATGGGGGAAAGAAGGCGTTTCTTTGAGACGCTCAAATCGTAGATCCCGACGGGGGTTCCGATCATAATCGCAGGGGACTACAACGCGGCCCTGAACTGATGGATGGACAGATGGTGAACGCCCTCCCCCGCCCCTCCTTACGTCGAGGAAGATGAACGAATGATCCAGGACCTATGCCTATCACTTAAACTTTTCGACACTTTCCAGAAGCTTCATCCAGAGATACGAAGTATTACTCTTGCCTCCGAAAGGAAGGAACAGAGGGTCAATCCAGATCTAGGATCGACCTAATTCTTATCTCAGAAGATTTGCAGGGCTCGCTGCTTTTAGCAGCCATTTTGCCACGAAGCCCGTATCCTGGGTTGGATCACAAGATGTGTACAACTACCCTAACGTTTCACAAAAAAAACGATCAGGGCACTCGGTTTTACAAACTAAATGTATCCCTTCTTCAACAAAGGTCATTCCTAGAGTATATAAAGTACTGTTGGACTTTTTGGCACACCCAAAAACAAAACGTACCATAGGAAATCGGCTGGTTTAATAATGGTCTGTTTTTTCTTAACAAAAAATGCAAAGAATATTTGTCACAACTAGCGGCCCGCAAACACGAACGTGAGGTAAAGATACTTCAACAAATCCAACAACTTGAACTTGAGCAACATGACGCTCCAGATACGGTAAGTACAGTGTCGAATCAGCAAACAAATATACAAGTCCTACAACAACAGTTGCAGATCTTTGCCGCTCAACGATGGGAAGGAATGCGAATCAGAACAAGACTATTGCGCTACCAGACTGAAGGTACAATGGACACCAAATTCGTTAGCCTGGCCCGAATGCATACACGGAAGACATGCATCGAGGCCCTGTACGATCCTAAGCAAGGGTGTGCGAAGATAGCATCCTCCACTCCCCAATGCACGCAGATTGCACGGTCCTTCTTCAAGGACCTGTTCACATCCAGATGTTCACAGCGGGACAAGCAGTTAAGGGAGGAAGAGGTTACAACCGTCCTCCGTCCGCTGGAAAAAGAATTGTCCGAACAACAGATAACACATCGTGAACACCTTTTATCCAAGGACGAAATTTGGACCACCTTGCTGCAAATGGAGGCGGAGGAAGTGTCTGGCCTAGATGGTTTCCCAAAAGAGTTTTGGGAATCCTTTTGGGACATGATGGCCCTGAACCTCATGAAGTACTACGAGCAGGTGTGGGAATCTGGATGCATGGGGGAGTTGGTTGGACAGGGCGTCCTCACCTTGTTGCATAAAAAAGGGGACAAAATGGATATCAGGAATTTTCGACCGATAACCCTGCTTACGGTCGTGTACAAGATGGTGGCGAAAGCCCTTGCGAACCGCCTGATCCCTGTCCTGGAAACCCTGATACGCCACTCTCAAACGGGGTTCATCAAAGGACGAAGAATCCATGATAGTATTCTCCTGATAAACGAGTTTCTCAGACTAACAAGGCAGGATAAATGCAACGCAACCGTTATTTTTATTGATTTTGAGAAAGCATATGATCACGTGGATTTTTTTTTTCCTGGATAAATGCTTGGAAAAAATGAATTTCGGTCCACATTTCCGTAGATGGATTGCAATTCTGCACCAAAACGCAACGACGAGAATTTAGGTTAATGGTATGCTGGCGCCGGAAATTCATCTGCAGAGATCAGTCCGCCAAGGAGACCCACTAGCCCCCTTCCTCTTCATTATCGTGATGGAAGCGCTGGCTGCGAACCTCCGGGCAAACAAAGACGTGCAAAAACTCCGGATTTCTGCCATCCCCGAAGAAGCCATCCCGGTATACTCTATGTTTGCGGATGACCTGACTGTTATGTTGGATGCTTCTCCTGCGAACATAGAAGAGATCAGAAACCTCATGGAGCGGTTCGCTGTTGTGTCCGACATGACAGTCAATTGGGGCACCAAGACCTTGGGGTGGTGGATTCATCACCAAGGGGTGCGCCTGCCCGAGTACCCGCAGGTTAAATGGCTACCTATGGAGGCTCCGATTCGGGTCCTGGGCATCATGATGACTGCCTTAGGCAGGGCCAGTCTCGAATGATGATTGGATCCTAAAACCCCGCTGGAAAAGATGGCTCTCTGGAATGACAAGTGGATATCGATGATGGGCAGAGCCTTGGCCATCAACAATGTTGTATTGGCCTCACTATGGTACAAATCCGCAATATGGGCCCTTAGCAAAGACGCGGTCAAAGTATTGAAGAGACAGGTCAACACGCTGCTCTGGAGGGGGGACAACACCTTTTCTAATGTGATCACTAGAGTCGCCTGGCCGGTCGTTATTCAGCCAAAAGACAAAGGGGGTCTGCGAATCTTGAACCCGACTAATACGGCTATCTAGGTTACAGCATTGACGGTCCAATGGATCAGGCGGCTGCTTTTCACTCCCCATCTCCCCTGGGCGGCCTTGGCCCTGGAACAAATTGCACGTTTGGATTCCCTGACCTCTTGTGAGGTCCACCCGGTGACCTGGCTTGAAGACCGCTTCTGGTCCATTCCCCGCCCCTCCCGATCCCCAAGAAACACAGAAGGGGGGCCTCCGAGGCGAGACTTGGCAGGGGACGATTTATGGTTTAGGGCCCTTCGCGCGTGGCGCCAACTCCCCCGCTAGACAAAGGAAGGCCGTCCAAATGGGAGGAGGTGGCAAGACAACCCCTCATCGGGAACATGCACATCACTGATCAGCGCGGGAGGGTATACTGTAGTTCGGCCCCCCCGTGGAATAGCTGGGTCAGAAGGGGGGTGATAAGAATCAACGACATATGGGACGTGGAAGGAAAAGATTGGCAAACAGAACAAAACCTGAAACCTCTTCTAAAGCATTGCCATCATATGGGGAAGAACTTGGAAGAATTAATATTTTATGTACCCTTGGATTGGGCGCGCATCCTACGTAAGGGACCATGCCTTCAAGAAGGGGACTCGGCGGCTACCCCCGGTGATCCAGAAAGCGTGG